TATATATGTGTGTGTACATACTTATAGATAGATAGATAGATAGATAGACAGATATAGATATACATATATATATATATATATATATATATATATATATATATATATATATATATATATATATATATATACATTTATATATGTGTGTATGTGTGGGTCCCGAGTTCAATTCCCCGTCGCGGCGGTCTTAAAAATACGTATGTTCTGACTGCTTGCTCGAGAGAAGTCTTGAGAAGTCAGACGCAGGTGTCATAGGGGAAATCACCGCCGTGGCCGAAACACGGTTGATTAGGAAGGGCATCCAATCAGGCAAGCGTGTCACTGCCATATAACCTCTTAATAATGAATTGAGAGAGGCTTATGTCCTGCAGTGGAATGAATGGCTGTTGAAAAAAAGAAAAGAAAGAAAAAAAAATATATATATATGAAAGGAAAACTGCCACAGTGAGAAACGAAATTGAAATGTAACGTTTCGAACCCTTCACGAGTTCCTCTTCAGACAACTGAAAAAACAAAAGTGGATAGAAGGAGAGAATTTTGAGAAGAATATATAATGATCGAGAGACAGACCGAGCAAGAGGAGAATCAGGTCTCAGGAGGAGGGTCAAGGTCGAAGAGTCTAGGAAAGGCTCTGCTAACAAGCGAAGAGGTAAGGTCATCCAAGCCCCATTGTCCAGCACTCAAGTTAGAGTTAGGCATTTTTCTAATTAATAAAGATTCCAACATTTTCCTTTCATATGAATTAGCTGATTTGTGAATCAATTTAGCATTTTTCCAGTTAAGCTGGTGGCCTTCATCCCGCAAATGAACGAAACACGCATTTGAATCTCTAGCATATCTAACATCGCGTTTATGTTCATTAATTCTTTTCTCGAAAGCTCTACCGGTCTCGCCTATATAAAACTTGGGGCAATCCTTACAGGGTATAGTATAAATACCGGGAGAAGTCTCAAGAGCACCGCTCGTCGCATTGTGCTTAACTAAAGTATTGCGCAACGTGTTTGGATACGTAAACACAATGTCAATACCAACGCCTTTAAACATGTGTCGTTTCTCATCTAAGGACGGGTTATACGGAATGATTAATAAATTCTTGTCATTATCCTGTTGAGTGTTACGGGACTGAGAATAAAATTTCCATCTCGCAGATGAATGAGCCTGATCTAAGAAAAAACGAGGATAACCTAATTTCGAAAACGATTCAAATATGACGTTAATTTCTCGATCGATAAATTCGGTATCACAAATTCTATATGCCCTTAAAAACATGGACGAGACTACTGACTGATTAACATACAACGGGTGATTCGAGAAAAAATGAAGGTAATTAGCGGTATGCGTAAGTTTACGGTAAACCGAAAATTTAAGTGAGCCATTTACGTTGAATAAAAGGACGTCGAGAAAAGGCAATTTACCTGAATCCTCCCATTCTACTTTGAAATTAATAGTATGCGCGAGGTTGTTGAGTTTACCGAAAAAATCATCGAAGTCTGACCGGTTCACTTGCCATAGTGAAAAAATATCAACATAACGAAACCAAATCGTGTCGGGAGGGAGGATAGACGGAAGGAGTTCAGATTCGAACATCTCCATATATAAATTCGCAAGGACCGGGCTTAAGCTATTTCCCATCGCGATACCATTGATTTGTTTATAAAATTCGCCGTTAAAAATGAAGACATTGTTCGTGACACACAAACGGATGAGCTCGACAAAGCAATTGACCGGAATAGGGATCTTCTCATGAGATGAAGAAAGTTTTCTTTCAAGGAAATCTAAAACATCGTCAAGCGGGACATTAGTGAATAGGGAATCTACGTCAAAACTCACTAATTTCTTATCGTGCGTCGGCAGATTTCTAACTTTATCCATGAAATCCATAGAATGTTTGATATGACTATCAGAGAATGATCCCATAAAAGGAGATAGAACGCTCGCTAGCCATGAGTCTAAAGGACGAGTAACCGAGTTACAAGACGAAATAATAGGCCTTAGAGGGACGCCCTGTTTGTGAGTTTTGGGAAGGCTATAAAAATACGGAATAGAGGGATTAACCGTTCTGATGCGATCAAAAAATTTGGGGTTAGGTCATGTGGCAGCAATACGCTTGAGGTTTTTACGAAACGATTCCGTGACTGATGGGTAAGGATTACAGCGCAGTTTCTGATACGTTAAGTTGTCGTTCAGGAGGGAATGAGCTTTGTCTATATAATCAGATTTATTAAGGATAACTACATTATTACCTTTGTCAGCTTTAGTAATTATAATGTTCAAATTGCGTTTAAGTGATTTAGTAGCCAAGAAATAACGACGTGGTAAACCTCTAAAATCATCAAATAAATCAAGAATCGGATTTAACATAACACCTTTAAGATAGCTAAGATCCTTTACCGAGGATTTGTTATGCTTCGCAATGAAACTATCAAGACCTTTAATATAATCTAAACAATGATTAGCGCCGGGTCTGGTAGCAAACGATAAACCAAAGCCTAAAAGTTCGGTT